CTCTATGAAAAGCGGCGTGGTGCCTCGTGCATCCACATCTTCAACGGCCGCGTCAACATCGCAATGCCCATCAACTTTCTCACAATCAGGAGAAAGTACACATGTTGTTGTAGGACATTCAAAGCGCGTGTGTGTGCGTGTGTGTGCGTGTGTGTGTGTGGGTGTGCTTGCGCAATACTGTTGGTGGTTTGCGTGTGTGGTGTTTAGTGTTCTCAAGCCCGCCAACTTGCTACGGCTGCTCACCTCGGCAACAACAACACTCCTACAACCTGTTTTGACAGCCGATTTGTGACGGCGTGCATCTTTGGCGGCTTTGCTTCCATCGGTCTTCGCGATGTTGGTGAGTTTATCCGCAAGACATGCCCACATGCGCGCGCTGTACAGAGAGCACTGAAGCAATGACAATCCCAACTGCGCCACCAATTCTCGCGCGCACGTTCACACACACACACACACGCACACACACACACATACATACATGCATACATACATACATACATACATACATACATACATACATACATACATACATACATACATACATACATACATACATACATACATACATACATAACTACATACATACATACATACATACATACATACATACATACATACATACACACATACATGCACACACACGCACACACATACATACACATTTACGTCACCAAGGGCGACTGTTCCTGACGACATCCAACACGACGTTTTTGGGGCGCAACTCCCTTCTCAAGAGTTTTGGCATGATGGTGAGCTGACTCATGACTGCTGCACAGCAACACATGCGCACACACACGCACACTCATTCACATGTGCTTCCACGACGTTCATTGAATTTCATACTGCTTACATTTCCTGCCTCCCTTGCTTCCACGTGAACAGTTCATGCTCGCCTCCCTCTTCTACCCCGTCGCAGCATGTCACATGTACGGTGCACGCTTCCCCATCTGCTCGTCCATGCGCATGTGTGTGTGTGTGTATGTGTACGTGTGTGTATATGTGTGCTTGAGGATGATGTTGTGCGTGTTTTCACCACCCTTGGCCGCTAACCCGTCACTTCCCTGCCATTGCCCGTGACCCCGTGCTTGTTGGACAGGTGTCACAACCAGCTTGTTGGAGCTAGCTTGGGCCTGTTGTACACATCTCTCGCCCTCTACATCTACCTCGACCCTGTCCTCTGCCACATTGACGTGTGTACCTTCACACACTCGCCCTCCTTGTGTGTGTGTGTGTGTGTTTATTTGTGTGTGCGTGTGTTTATTTGTTTGTTTGTCTGCCTCTGCGACCCCCTCTTTTGCCCCTCCCAATGCTCCCTCCTTCGCTCCCATGCCCAAATCCATCCTGCGAGCAACACGGCCCATTTGGAACGCATGTCCACCTCACATTCACCCGCCAACGCAACCACGCCCTCCACTGCTGTAATCAGAATCGCGAGTTCTGGCCCGACGCAGCTGTGCTCGTGCCGACGTTTGCATCGCTCGCGTGCCTCACAGGCTACTTCCTCATGGAACTCGTCAAGACCATCACCAAGCTCACCATCTTGGTACGTGCGTGCGTGCGTACGTAACGCTTTGTTTGCTTGCTTGCTGCTTGCTTGCTTGCTTGCTTGCTTGCTTGCTTGCTTGCTTGCTTGCTTGCACGTGCCTTGCCCTGGCGTGGCTCACCCCCTCTGATCATCATACCTCACGCATTTGGGCCCCACCTGCAACACCTTTGTCATCTGAGCAGGTCTACAACCGGTCCAACCGCTATCGTCCTGCGAGGTACGCAAGAAACCGCATTTCCAATATCAAACATGCCCTTACTTCGTGATTGCTTTTCATGCCAGCATGCTTCCATGCCCACTTGGTTTCACTTGCCTCAGCCACCACACACGTCACGTCACACTCCTCACATCACCACCCCTGCTGCTTGGCATTCCCACTGCTTGTGACAGCTCGCGCGGGTTTTGGGCCGATGTTCTGCGCGCGTGCGAAGCGCCGCCCGCCGAAAACTTTGATCGTTATCACAGCAGGTACCGTGCCTGTCGCCCCCTGGTTCGCTGGCTGGCTTGATTGATGGGATACATTGTGTGGAGGTTTGCACGCTGCATATGCATGCGACAGTTTCTTCAAGCATGTGTTCCCAATTACTTTTTGATATTCGCATTACGCGCTCACGCAACACCCACACACCACATTTCTCTCTCTTCTTACAACCTTACAAAACACATCCACACACAACACACACACACACACCATTTCTCTCCCATACCTTCGGCCGACGCGAAGGGTGCGGGAGTTGCTGCGAGGAAAGCGGCACCAGGCGACGTACGACCAGGACGAGGTGGACGCCATCGATCCCGCCATCTTCAAGCTTGAGCCGCGCCGGTGGTGGGAAACGGCCGCATTCAAACTCCGGCGCGCGTTCAAATCGTGCAAGCGAAACAGGTCCGGCGCATGTGCAAGTGGGCGCACGGAAAGATGGACGCAACCAACACATGCACACATACAACCACACGCATGCACACACATACACACACACCACCACCACCACCACCACCACCACCACCACCACCACACACACACACACACACACACACACACACACACACACACACACACACACACACACACACACACACACACACACACACACACACACCACCACCACCACACACCACCACCACCACCACCACCACACCACCACCACAAGACGCCTGATACCCATACCCAAAATCCTTTTCGACTGTACTTGCTTGATGGATACAATGCCCAGCGTCTCACGACCACGCCATCATGCACACACGCATCTACACACGCGTACACATACCGCGGCCCGCACGTATTCACTGTGCAGGCCGTTCCAGCATGAGCCATCTTCACATCACATCCAGTATTCCCCGCGCATCGTGGCCATGGCGTCACTGGCCGCCTTTCTCCTGATCGAATGCACCATCCTGTGGATTGACTACTGCCACCAATTTGCCACTTTTGTGCACATGGTCTTCAGTGGCACCCGCTGCGCACCCGTCGGTATGTGCCTACTGACCTCTGTGCGGCTGCCTGTCATGTCAATTGTTGTGCCCCAATCGACAAGCACTCCATTGCCCACACGCCTTTCTTGCCAGTTTACTCATTCCCCTCATTGTCTCACAACTCCCCCCCCCCCTGGTGTGCATGGTGTATTGTGTGCATTCATGTACTGCCATGTGCATTGTACGCTGTGCGTTGTTCATTCCCAACAACTACAACAACAACAACAACAACAACAACAACAACAACAACAACAACAACAACAACAACAACAACAACAACAACAACAACTCCCGCCTCCCCTGTTTCTCCTCGTGTACTTGTGTGTGCGTGGTTCTGTCACACAGGGGTCATGGCGTCACCGTCTGCAATCCTGTCAGAGTGGCTGCCACGGGGCGACATTGCGTCCCTGCTGTCCATTGTTCCCGGCGTTGAGCTGCGCTTCCACATTGGCACGTCGTGCAAGACAACAGACATCATCCGCCAGGCTGTCTACATCTCCTTCATGGTCTCCGGCATCCTCGCATGCGTCGTCCACTTGGGGTAAGAATTTGCTCTTGTTGTTGTGTGTGTGTGTTTGTGTATTAATTTGTGTGTGGTTGAGGTCGTGAGTGGCGTTGTGTGTGCGATTGTGAGTGGCGTTGTGTGTGCGATTGTGAGTGGCGTTGTGTGTGTGTGTGTGTAGGTGTGTGAGTGGATATATTTCGTCATATTGCTGGAGACGACCCGATCGCATGCTAATCGTGTGGTGAACCTCATTTGCACTTGCTCTTGTTGCTATTCAGGTACCTGTGGCACATGCTGTTCTGTTACAAGAAACACATTGGCCGGCTCTGTCGGGGTGACAAGTCGTTCCTGCCGCCCATCCGCAAGTGCGTGTCACACACACACAACACACACACACACACAAAGTGCTCTGCTATGGCTTATCTTGTTTGCAACAGCGAAGACGTCTCAATCATGGCCTCTCACCCATGCATCCACGCACGCACACGCGTTGACAGGCTGAATTCGTCTGCTGGCATTGTGGATGCGCTCAAGTATGCCGGGTTCCAGACAGCGTATCTGCTGAGCGGGTGGATTATCAACGCGTTTCTCCTGTGCGCATTCTGCCTATTCCTCACGCTGTCCAGCGTGCTGCCGGCGCTGCATGTGTACGATGACTGGTTCTGGCAACCGTGGGTGCTGCACAAGATGTACCCCATTGCCATTGGTCTCGCCTTCTACTTCATCCAGGTGCGCATGTGTGCGCATGTGTGTGTGTTGTTGTGTTGTGCGCGTAATTCGTCGGCGGCATTTGAGAATCATAGACATCACGTGCTGCTGCTGTATTGTGCCCTTGTGCTTTGTGCAGACTGCTGATTCACCAACACATCCGAAACTGTGATCCCACATTCATACGTGTGCTCACACAATCCCTTCAAACCTTCTCTTCGCACACGCACACACACACGCGCCCTTTGTGATGTCATCGACAGTACATTGCTGTGCGCTGCATCTTCCAGACGCGCTCGGCCTCGTACATGATCATCCACCAGCGGTTCTTCCACAACTTTGACTTCTTCGTGTTCTTCATCAACATCTTTGTTGGTCTCTATTCGTTTGTGTGCCGGTTCTTGCTCAACGTCGGCGTGGGTCTGCTGTGGATCAGCCGCCTTGACAAGTCCATGCTCCCGCGCGGGTACGAGTTTATCGACCCAGGCTACCGCACATATGTCGGCTTCCTGTTGCTGGACTACCACTACTGCAACCCGAGTGTGGTCACCTTCTCCAACCTCCTCAATTCTCACGCGAAGAAGCGGCGGCGCCAGCGAAGGCGGTTCATTGAAGAGGTCTGTCTGTCTGTGTCTATGTGTGCCTGTGTATTAGTGTGTGTATTTGTGTGTCTGTCCGTGTGTCTGTGTCTGTCTATCTGTCTATCTGTCTGTCTGTCTGTCTATCTGTCTATCTGTCTATCTATCTGTCTATCTATCTGTCTATCTGTCTGTCTGTCTGTCTGTCTGTGAGTGGAACTGTACGTATGCGTTGGTCGGTGTCTGTGAGTGCATGCCTCACTCAAGTAACTGTACACGTGTGCACATGTCTGTCAAGAGAAAGCAGTTTTATTTGCATGTTGCCACTGCTAGGCTGCAGCTCACCGTGACCACACACGCACCATCACCAACACTACCACTGACTCGCACGTGCAACAAACAACCTGCGTCCCTGCAGTACATTGAGTCTGGCGGCGGCCTTGCCATTACGCGCCGGTCGGTCAACATCACCGATACCAGCGACGCGGCGCTGTTTGACTTTGACGAAGACGAAGAGGACGCCATGGATTATATGGGCGGCTGCGACGAGCGCTCGCGCTCAAGGAACAAGAAGAAGAACAAGGCCGCGAATCCGCCGCCCGTACAGTACGACTACACCGTGCCAAACTACGCGTTCACCTCAAGCAGCGAAGACAACGCTGGGCACCAGCGCGGTGCCAGCAGCAGCAGTGACTTGGAGTACACGCACACGTGGGACCCCCACTCCCCGCTGCTCGACATGGCAGACTCCACACGCGGCCACCAGCGCCAAGTGAGCACAGCATCCACATCGTCCATTCTCTGGTCGGCCACGGCCATGCTGACCAACGCGTTCTTTGGCTACGCATACACGCCGCACCAGCTTCGCCTGCGCCAGCAAGCAGAGCAGCTGTGGGAGGTTCGCGTCGCACACGCGCGCAAGCGTCGCCGCGTGCGCACGCGCTGGCACTTGGCAGTGACGCTGCTGCACAACCCGCAGCTGCGCGAGGAGAGGAAGGATACGGGCAGGCGGCACCGGCAGGACACGACGCTGAGGCGCCGCCGATCGCAGATCTGGCACATTCAGCAAGCAAAGCACGAGAGCATTCTGCGCCTGCAGCAGGAAGAGGAGGAGGAACGCGAGAGAGAAGAAGACAGGGAGGAGCATGAGGTCTATGTGGAGGTGCAGGGATCCAGGAAAGGCAAGCTTGCGCGTGACGATTCTCTCTTGAGCGACTATCTCGACGACGACGGTGACGACGACGGTGATGGTGGTGCTGGCAATGGAGGTCATGGAAGCCGCGGAGATGGTGGTCACGGTGGTCGCAGCATCAGTGCATTTGCTGTTGACGACGACGACGACGACGACGACGCTGACAGCGTGAGCAGCGTTGTGATTCGCTACGTGGACAGTGAAGACGAGGAACGGGAATGGCTGAGCATGAAGCCATCCAATATGACTGACGCATCCTCTTCCTCGGATACCACTGGTGCACAGCGCAGCGCAACCAACGTGATATCCGCGTTCCGGCCAATTGCCCGTCACTCTCTGACGGAGCTTGGAAAAAAGCTCAAGTCGCTCACGCGATGGTCGTTCTCAAGCCTTCGCGGCTCGCGTTCGCCACGAGAAGACGGCAGCCCACTGTCAGCAACGGCAGCAACTGCCGCTGTTGGAGCAGGTGGTGGTGATGGTGGTGGTGGTGATGATGATGATGATGAGGAGATGCTGGTGTTGACAGCCGGAGGGACGCCCATATTCGAGAACAATGCTGACCTCGAGGGCGATGACGATGACGACGACGACGACGACGACGTCAACTGTGTTGATGATGACATGTTTGACAACGATGGCGATGGTGTTGCCGTTGGTGATGGACGTGGCGGGAGCAGAAGAAGCCACCGTGGCAAGAAGGGATCGCCTTCTTCGCTGCAATCAGGGCAGCTTCAACTCTCGTCGAAACCCTCGTCGGCATCATCCCCTGTGGATGAGGCCACGCAAACGGGTGCAGACACGCCGCTATCGCCGTTTTCCTCCCTGGCCACCGTTCGCTCCAGCAAAGGCCTGTCCAAGAACAGCAGCAGCAATAGCAGCAATGGCAGCAACAACAGCAGCAGAAGCGGCCGCTCTCGGCAGGCGACAACCCACACACCGGTGGCGGACCCACTGATTCAAACGTCATATTTTTCTTCAAGTAGCACGCGCGTGGGTGATGTGGATGGTGCGATGCCTTCGTCGTCATCTGTAAAGCTCACGACCGCACTGCAAACAGATGCTGTGCGAGCGCCAGAGGCGCGACCATTGGGTGGTGCAATGGCGGCGCATTCATCGTCCTCGCCCTCCCGTCTTCCGTCCTCGTCGTCACGGCTGTCGTCAGCATCCCAACGCATGTCCATGACACCACTGAACAGCAGCGGCCACCCGAAAACGGCGAACGCGCGCCAAGCACGGCCGACGGCGACAGCCTCCTCCTCCTCGTCATCGCTGGTTGGTGGCAGGCGTGGGCAAACGGGCTCCCCAAGTGCGCTTGTGTCTGCGCAGCTGCAGCGGCCGTGGTCGTCCTCTGCGTCCGCCTCAACAGCGCGACACACACGCGCAGCCCGCGCTCGCCCTCCGTCATCAGCGTCGGCAGCAGCAAGCCGTGCATCGACGCACTCATCTCGATCCTCATCACGGCTCTCTCGTGCGCGGAGCGAAGACAAGCAGCAGCAGCAACAGCAACAGCAACGACAGTTGTCGTCGTCATCGTCATTGACAGGGAAGAGCCGGCGCTGCGCAAGGAGCAAAAGCAGCGAGAAGAAACATGCACAGCAGGCAGCACATGGCATGAGCAGCAGTAACCGCTCAAGCGACAAGGCCCAGGGAGGGCACGATGCGCACGGAGGGCGTGGCGCTAGCCGGCACAGTGCAACAAGGCATAGCAAGCCGAGTGCTGGCACGGCAAGTGCAACCGGCGGCAGCACCAGCAGGCGCACTCGCAGGCAACAGAGCAAGGGCCGCGACCAGACCCGTGACAGCGCGGAGAACAGCGGGCGACGGCAGTCGAAGGCGCGCACAGCGCACATTTCGCGCTCCAGCACGCGCATGACCATCTGCGCAGATGAGCCGTACTCTGCCACGAGCATCAACAGCGGGTTTGATTACTTCCCGGAGGTGACACGGCTGGCAGAGAAGCAATACCAGGAGAGGCTGCAGCGAGAAGAGTGGCAGCGGCGTTTGCAAGAACAACAACAACAACAACAACAACAACAACAACAACAACAACAACAACAACAACAACAACAACAACAACAACAACAGCAGCAGCAGCAGCAGCAGCAGCAGCAGCAGCAGCAGCAGCAGCAGCAGCATCCAAAGTTGCATCGGGTCAAAGGGCACCGCCGCACAACGTCCACAGTGTCTTCGTCGAGCGAGCACGATTTCCCGCCTACACCCGTCGAGGCGTCGTTTGTGCGTGTTGACGGACAGCTGCGCATTCGCGACATCTCCACAGGCAACAGCGACGTGAGCCTGACCCATGAAGCGCCACCACAGCCGCAGCCGCAGCCGCAGCAGCAGCCGCAGCCGCAGCAGCAGCAATGGCAGCCGCAACCACAAGCACAACTACAGCATCGACAAGCACAGCAGCAGCATCGCGATGGTTTGTGGCCGGGCGTGTCAGAGGCGTTTTTGTCCACCTCTGCGCCGGCGGGAGTGCTGTCACAGGCGCTGCTGCAAGCACGAAATCAGCAAAGCGGTGTGCACGTGTCAGTTCCGGCGCAGCCCAGTTCATCGACTGTGGGTGCAGGGGCAGAGGAGCGTGGTGTCAGCGAGCGCCAGAGCCGAGCAGCGCAGCAAGACGGGTCAGGGCGTGATCGTGGCGTGCTCTCGCCGCCGTTGGCATTGAATGACCTGTCCTCGAACTCGCTCTACAAGCGTCGACACCAACGTCTCCAACAACAACAGCAACAACAACAACAACAACAACAACAACAACAACAACAACAACAACAACAACAACAACAACAGCAGCAGCAGCAGCAGCAACGACGAATGGCGTTCCCGTCAGGGCCACCGCCGCCACCTCCTGCGCCTCTTGCTGGTATCCCTGAACACGAAGATGCGCCACCGCCACCGCCGCCGCCACCACCCGACCAACAGGAGGGTGTGTCATCCCCAGCCTTTTCATCGTCATCCGCAGCTTCCTTCTCCACGATGTCGCCCGCGCCCTCGCCAACGTTCCGCGCCGTGCCCGAGCGTCCGCTCGATGCTTCCAACATCAAGTTCACGCGAGGTGCGTCGTCGTTGCTGTGTTGAGGAGAGCAGGTGATTGGGTGGCGGTGACAGGAATGGAATAGCCACCGCACCCGCACGAACAAGGGTGTACGCTATCTTGTTCTTCTGCCGTCTACAGTCTATGCTCCACTCATTACGCACACGCACTCACCCTCACATGTACACGCGCATTTACACGCGCATTTACACGCGCATTTACACGCGCATTTACACACACACACACACACACACACACACACACACACACACACACACACACACACACACACACACACACACACACACACACAATTTAGGCCATCACCGTCTGCCGTCATTCGACCCGGACCTAAACGCTTTCCCTGTTCTTCACGAAGATCAAGATGAGCACGAGGCATCACCACCTCCACCACCGCCTCCCCCGCCCGCACCAGCGCCGTAAGTGTGCATTGCAGTCAACGTGCCGGAGAAGTGGTGTACTGTTGAAGTTTTGTTGTGTTTGTGTTGCGGGTGCAGGCCGCCCCTCCCCGAATGTGTTTGTGTGCTACTATCTATGCATGGTGCAAAGTCGATATGCTCTTTCCCGTTAAGTTGAGGTGCATGCACGCACGCTTGCCTGTTTTCTTCTTCGTTTTTGTATTGAATGTAAGCGACCAGCAAGTGAACTAGCTGATGACCAGTGTAAGTGTAAGCGATGTAGTGAAATTGCATTCCAACACCGTCGTGTTCTCTCCTATATAGCACTCACTGACTTGTTGAAGATGGTCGCGTGTTTACTGTGGACAAGCTTGATTCTTGTTTGCACTGGTATTGTGCTGGTACCAGGGTCATTACAGAACATGTCAGAAGCAAAACATAAACAGGCAAAGCAAGCTGGTGAGATTGTACCACCCATTGACAGTTGCATGACGGACAGAAGGCAAGAACACGGGCGGTGGAGGGCCAGCAAAGCACTGGGAGCTGTACATAAAAGCTGGTTCATCATTGATGACATTGGTGTACGTGTATGTGCATGTGCATGTGCATGTGTACGTATGTGTCTGTGCATGTGCATGTGTATGTATGTGTGTGCACGCTTGAGAAAGGCCCACGTGACCAGAGGTCATACGGCAGACACGCGCGGGCGTTCGGAGTTGGCGTGAAGCGACGTGGCACTGAGCTGCAAGCGTTGACTTGGTTTTGGTGACTTTGGAGATGATGGCGATGGGGCAGACACGCCTTGTGTCAAAGCATGCCCAGTACCCATGGTGCTGACGGTCCAGCCGCGGCCACGCTGCCGCCTTGAGCCCGCCTTGGCAGCCGCGTTGCGCTGCTGTGCCGGCGACCTCTGCTTATGATGTGGGTTGTGTTGTTGGTCGTGTTGTTGTCGTTGCTGTTGACGCGATTGTCCGTGTGTGTCGTGATCTGCTGGTGCGTGCTCTTGTTCGCTGAATCGCGCAAGTGTGTTGTTCTCTGCATCCACGACGCCAGTCTGCTCGCCACCACCACTGTTGTGGTCGTCGTCATGGTCCGAAACCTGCACGACGATGGGTGGTGTCTTTAACCTTGCTGGCCCCGAAGACGGTCGAGCACGGTTGCTGCTGCTGTTGACGCTGGTGCTGTCTCTGTGAACCACGCACTTGCCGAGGGCGCAGTGTTCGCATGCGCACGGCGCGTTCGTTTGTGCGGCACTCTGTTCGTGCCTGAGGCGTGAAGGCGTGTGCGGTGCGGTGAGTGGCGGGAACCGAACGCCGTCGGCCCTGTGCGACGGTGAGCACGAGCGAGGCGTCAAATCGACGACGCCAGGGTCCGCGTCGCCGTTTTCATCGAGCATCTCAAAGACGGGCTCCTCAATGATGGGCGGCAAGTGTGGCACGGAGTTGGCCTGTGAGTGCCACGTAAACGCCCGCTTTCGGCCCTTGCCCTTCTTGGATTTAGTTGGCTTTGCTTGTGTGATGTTGTAGTTGTGGACAAGATGCTGGGACTGGCGGGCCGGGGACGGGCTTGTGCTCGACGCTGCGCCAGACCGTGTTGCACCCCCCGAAGATGATGACGATGGAGATGAACTGACGGGGCGACCTTGTTGGATTTGTGACCTTAGCCGAAAGGCCATGTTTAGCACGCCCAAGTTCATGGCCATGGCGACGTGTGTTGGTTGGTTGGTTGGTTGGTTGGTTGGTTGGTTGGTTGGTTGGTTGTTGTTGTTGTTGTTGTTGTTGTTGTTTGTTGTTTGGTGTGTGTGTTTATTGTGTTTGTCCGACCTTGATCGCAGGTTTCTTTGCAAGCAGGATGAAATGCCAATGGCTGAGCTGTAGCTACCACTCATGCGCTTGCTTGCTTGTTGCTGTTGCTGCTGCTGTTGCTGCTGTTGTTGTTGTCCCTCCTGGTTGTCGGGCCTAGAACTAGACCTTCCTACCTGACAGGCATTGTACGACGAGGCACCACTGGCGAAAATTCACACATATCTTCATCACAATTTGGTGTGTGTGTGTGTGTGTGGGTGGGTGATACACTGACGTGATGACATGACGACGTGTTGTGTGAGCTTCATTTACTTGACTGGGCTGTACCAGCTTCTTTCCTGCATCAACGTGAACCTAGTAAGGACGAAAGCAAACGAGAACAGAGCAGGCAAAGAGGTAGCGAGAGACCTAGGAGCAGCGACAAGCGCAACGGAAGGGCTTGGCACATGGTAACGCGTGCCAGCCACAACAACAATAGAACAAAACAGCAACAGTGCTGGTCAAACACGCATGTCTAAGGCAGGGGAGAAGGGCGGGGGAGGCATTTCCATTGACCAATCGAGAAGGTGCATCTCATCAATAACAAGTAGCAGTCGAACCTAGAAAAAAACGCATCTGCAACAGGGCCAAGAAAGGACCTTTCGAAGACGAAGCAAGCAAGCGTGTCACAAACAGAGGAAAGAGGCAACAGGAAACTAGATGGAAGAGGAATTTGGGGGGGGGGGGCTCAAACGTGGGTGTTCTTGCTCCCGAACCCACACCAGCACCACCACCACCAGCAGCAGCAGCAGCACCATCAGCACACGTCACGGCTTGGAGGGGAGGGCAAACTCTGCCTCTGCGTCCTCCTCCAGGCAGGGTGAGAGCGGGGCTGTGCTGAGGTTGGTGTACCGGCGCCAGCGCCTCAGGCGGCCCGCGGCCGCACTGCTGCTGGTTGGCTGGTGCGACGGCGGCGACGGAGTCGTGGGTGTGGGCGGTTTTGGCGTCAGGGCTGGCGTCAGGGTTGGCGCCAGGGCTGGCGTGCCTGACGCGTCACTGGTATTGGTGGCACCAGTGCTGCCGCTGGTTGTGGCCGCGGTGTTGATGGCAGAGTCGTCCACGGTCGTGGCGCCGCGCGATGTCAACGACGAGGACGACGACGACGTCAGTGCTGCTGCAGACTGGCTGTCGCCGAGCGGGTGCACGGGCCACGAGCTGTGGCGGGCGTGCCGCTGCCACACCGGGCGCGGCTGCAGCGCCCTCAGCCCCTGCACGGGCTTGGGCGTCGACTGACGGTAGCGGGGGACACCCGTCTTGAACGCAGGCCGCTTCATCAAATGCGGCAGCGTGGCATCGCCAAACCCGGTCTGCACGGGGTGCTGCTGCTGCTGAGCGTCCTCAAGGCGATCGTCGCAGTCATTGTCGCCGTCAACGTCGCCGTCATCGCCATCGCGGGCGTGGCTGCCAAACCCGTCTTCGTGAACGGCCTCATGCACACCAGCGGCGTTGGAGCCAGTTTGGGCTCCCATTGTCGCTGACTGCTTCTGGTGGTGCTGGTGGTGGCGCGCGGTTTGCTGCTCAGCGGCGACCTCGTTCAGCCTGGAGGCGAGCTCGCCAAAGCCAAACGCGGGTCCAAAGCCAAACGTCTCCTCGTCCTCGTCCTCGTCATCGTCGCACGGCGTCGCTGTCTCGTCTGTGCTGTACCCGCCGAGCATCTCGTGGGACCCGCCATCGGCGAGTGGCGGGAACGGGGCGTTGAGGAGGGAGGCAGATGGGGACGGCTGCACGCTGCTGGCGCGCTTGCTGTTGTTACCTGCACCCTGGCCACCGCCAATACCACCATCACCACCACCACTGCTTCTGCTGCTGCTACTATGCATCATGACGAGTGATGGCGACATGAGGGCGGCCCGCTGATCCTGCCGCCTCGATTGCCTGCTGGCACTGCTCCTGGCGCTGCTGGTGGCGCTTGTGGCTGCGGTTGCCGTCGTTGGCGTGTGCTCATCGCGGCACATGGAGCGCCCGCGGCTGCCGGGGCGGGACCCCTCGTGTTGCTGCTGCTGCTGCTGCACCATGAGCAGCGCCATGTCCGTTGATGCTGGCATGGCGCGGTCGTCGTCGTCGTCGTCGTCGTGGGCGTCCTCACCGTCGGCCTGTTCGAGGATGGCTGGGAGGGAGCACCGCCGCTGGGCTGGCGACGCAGACGGGGACGCAAACGGCAGCGCCCGCCTCCTCCTGCTCTGGCGTGTGCTGGAAACAGCAGCGCCAGCGGCGACAGATCTGTTGGGGCAGCCACGCCCGCGCCCAAACACGTTGCGGCCGGCGGCGGGGATGGTGCTCACGCTGTAACTCGGGGACGCAGACCTGCGGCGCGCGGTGCGCGGTGGTGCTGGCAGCGCCATGGAGGGCCGGTTGAGGGTGCTCAAGTCATCGTACGAACGGGCGGCGCCGATGTGTGGGGAGAAGTCGACGGTGCGTTTTGTTGTCGTGGAGGACGAGGACGATGATGATGTTGACGCATAATTTGACAGGGGCGATGGCGAGGGCAGCGAGGAGCACGAAGCGGAGACGAGCTGCTTGCGGCGTTGGGCGTGTAATGAGGCGAGCTTGTCCTGTCGTTGTTGTTGTTGTTGCTTCTTCAGCTGTTTCTTGGCTTTTTGCTGTTGCACTTGGTAGCGCAGGACATAAGCGTGGGTGAGGACGTTGTCTGGGTCCACCTGCCTCTGTTGGAAGTTGTTGAAGCTGATGACGACGCGGTCGCGTGCGCGCTCATCGCAGGTGCGACTGCTGTTATGGCGTGCCATCACGGTACGCGAAGACGGAGAAGTGCGTGTGTGTGTGTGTGTTGTTGTTGGGAGGGGGGTGGGACAAGGACAAAGCGGGCGGAGGCCGAAGCGGGGGGAGGGAAGCTGAAGAGAGGTGGATTGAAAAAGCAGACACAGGAAACTGGTGTGGAGGAGAAAATGGACAGGTGGTGCAGTGCCAACTGAGGCGTGGTGGTGGTGTTGTAATGTAACACAACACAATGTATGCCAAAAAGCACACACACACACACGCGCGCGCGGGCGGGCAAGTCAGGACAGGACCAAGACTTGTTAACAAAGACTTGTCAACGAAGACTTGTCAACAAAGACTGACCGAAGGCTCACGCCACAATGCAGCAAGAACAAGAAATGGATTGATGTAGATGCGAGTGAGAGAGAGAGAGCAGCAACAAGGTGAAGGTTGTCACTTGCAACGCCGTGTTCGGACTTTTGGTTGGTAGGTTGGCGAGATTGGTGAAAGATGGGAAGGGTGGGTGTGTTGGCTTGATATCCGGGTGATGAAACGGCGGTGCGAAATGAGTCACACGCACTCATACACACGTGGTTGCTGAGGCTGGAGGGCGTGGAGGCAAAAAAAATGACACGCAGTGTCGTCAGTTATGCGACGAATGATGAAGAAGAAACGGGTGGTGGGCGGTAGCTGGAAACAAAAGGACACACACCCCGTCGCTGACAGGGAGAAAACGCGATGCAGACAATGGATGGATGGATTGGGGAACCAAGACCAGCCGGTGCTTGTGAGACCGCCACTCAAGGACAGCGTGGTTGAGGTGGGTGGGGCGTGGTGGTGGTACTGCCAGCCAGCCAGCCAGTTAGCTTGCTTGCTTGCTTGCTGGTGCTGCCGTGGGTCGGGCAGCGGTCCTCCTCCTCAAGACAAACAAAGAGAGCAAAAGCTTTGGCTTCTTGCTTCTTGCTTGCTTGCTTGTTCGTTGCTTTTGCGATGCTCACCGCGTCTTGTTGTAGGCTCGGCAACGTGCGGGGTGGGTTGGACGCAATGAATGGTTGTGCTTGGGCGCGTGGACACACTCGCACATGTCGTGTGTGATATGAGTGGACACATGCGCGTGGGAATTGTGCGTGGCCAGACGAGGCACGACGACGACGACGACGCACGCAAGCAAGCAAAGCAAGAAGGAAAGGCGAAGAGAAAAGCGGAAAGAGAGGGAAAGGGGGGCGGTGTCGAACTCCAATGTTGTGTTGGAGGGGTGGCGAAGGTAGGTGTCGCGTTGTGTGATGCTGGTGCTTCCTTTTGCCCCAGAATCGCCACGATTTGGAACGCCCTTGCAACAACAATCAGCGTTCTCTCAACACCGGACACACACGCACACGCAACGTGCTAAAGGCAAAAATGACTTTGGGTAGTCCAAGTCAAGATTACCCTTCTTGTGGTCGTACCAGCTACTGTTTGTGCTGTTTATTTATCGAAGCCTGTCTTTCGACAATTTTCCGCAAGGCACAAAAAAAAACGACGACACAGACAGCAGACAGCAGCAACGAACAACCCTCGCACACACAAACAAGCAAGAAGCAAGAGAAGCAACACAAGCAAGAGGCAAGACAAGCAACGAATCGGCTGACACCAAGCAGAGCAGCAGAGAAGAGTAAGTGCATCATCGACGCGCGAGGGAGACGGGGAGAGAACAGAGTGTGCACAAGTGAACGAACAGCTCGCGGACAAAGAGAGAAGGAGAGAGAGAGAGAGACAGAGTGAGAGAGTGTGTGTGAGAACGTGCAATGAGGGAGTGAGAAAGCAACAACGTAGACACCGCAGTCGCCACTAGCAATTCACACAAACTCATCAGTTCACACACATCAACACGCACACACACATACACCGACCCACCACTAGCAGCAGCAGAACAAGAAGAAGAAGAGGAAGCTCTACTTCAACATGCCTGGACTCACGTCTGTCGGTGCGTTCAGTTGTTCCAGTGTGTGTGTGTGTGTTTGTGTGTTTGTGACGATCGTGTGTTGTGTGTGTGTTTGGTGGAAAGGGTGTTGGGACACAGACACACAGAAACACAGAAACACACACACACACACACACGCACACACGCACACACACACAGATTCACACACATACATAGATACACACATATACACACACACGCACGCACACATAGATACACACACATACACACATATACACGCACATACACACTCTTTTGTTTGCTTCCCTCTCAATCACACACCCATTCGCCCATTTGCGCCGCCATGCCCTTTGCTCACGTTTTCGCACCATCCTCATCCCAATCGGATGAACAGGCGGCGTGCTGGCGCTGCTGGATGAACCAGAGACAGAACTCAAGGTGTGTGTTCCTGGCCGTAGTTGTGGTGGCGGTAGTGGGTGGTGGTGATGGTCTGCATGCCGTTTCCCCCCTCCCCGCCCCACTTGCAGTCAATGTCCACGCCTTGTGTGTTCCTGCCACCGCTTCCGCTTCCTCCTGCTTGTTCCTCTGTGTGTGGTCTGCCCTCATAACCGCCCGCCATTTCTTGTCGTGTTTCTTCAACACGGCACTTTGCAGGTGTTTGCCATCAACAAGCTCCTGGCTCTGGTGGACAACTTCTGGCCCGAGATTGCCAACGTCATCAACAAAATGTGCGCAGCACAGTGACACCGCAATATCACACACGCACTCGCACTCGCACACACACACACACATATACAACATCCAAGGGAACGTGGACAAGTGACCTTTGTTTGCTCGACAGTGTGCTTGTGTCGAAACCTCCTCGCTTTCCCTGTCCAAACAGTACTTGACACCCGTCCCGTCCCTCCCCCCTTCCTCAAATCTCACCAAATGCTCACCCACCGTTTACGTGTGCTTGTGTGTGTGCTTGTGTGCGTGCGTGTGTGTGTGTGTGTGTGTGTGTGTGTGTGTGTGTGTGTGTGTGTGTGTGTGTGTGGCTAGTGAGGAGCTGTTTGAGGACAAGGCGTTCCCTGAGCGCACACAGGCCGCTCTGCTGGCATCGCAGGTGTACTACCACCTTGGCGAACTGGACGATGCCTTGCACTTTGCCCTCTTGGCCGAAAACGCCTTCAACGTCGAGGACACATCCCTCTTTGTCACCACCATCACAGGTATGCGCTGGTGCATGTGTGCGCACGTGTCTGTACGTGGTGTGTGTGTGTGTGTGTCTGCGTGCTTGGTGCTGTGTCTCTGCCGTCTGTGTATGGATTCGCTCGTATTGGTGTGTTGTCTCGTGTTCGTCTGCTCTCTCGTAGTCCGTTGTGAGAACCTGCTGCATTCGAGCACGACAGGTGTGCCTTGAGAGCACGACACATTTCCCTTGCCCAATCCACACTCGTCGCTGCGTACACCATCCATTCGTCCATTCATGCACTCAATCTCACCTCCTCCACCACGACTTGTTGGTGTTGCTGTTGTCCTCGCGTGCCAGGGTGGGCCATGGACACATATGTGGCGAAGCGGCAGGCGACGCCACCGGCTGACATTGACCCCGCCCTGGAGACTATGGCAAACCGCATGCTCAACCGCTGCCTTATCGACAAGCAGTTCCAGCAGGTGTGTGTGTGTGTGTGTGTGTGTGTGTGTGTGTGTGTGTGTGTGTGTGTGCATGTAACACAACGGCACCAAGCACCCGCAATACCTGTCCCTTTGCGTGCGTGTGTGTGTGCGTGCGTGCGTACACACTATAAACTTGCCTGCTGGCCATAAGCATTCATTCATCTCAACCCTCCCCCAACGCCCTCACTTGCTCAACCCCCCCCCCTCTTCTCCACGTGTGCACAGGCCATTGGGCTTGCACTGGAGGCGCGCCGCCTGGACATTGTGGAGCAGGCGCTCGACCAGTGCGACAACAAGACGGAGATGCTTGCGTACACATATGACGTTGCCATGCGCCACATCCCGATCCGCACCTTCCGCGACGACGTGCTTGCCCTGCTGGCCGACGCCTACAAGAAGCACGCCGGTCAAGACGTTGTCAACCACCTGCAGTGCCTCGTTGCCGTCGAAAACACGGCAGCCATCACCGCCCTCCTCACCCAACTCATCGCTGACGATGTGCGTGCCCCTGGCTGTGCGAATTTGCATTACGTGCTTGCTTGACCGACGGCGGACGAGAACACACATGCAATCACGCTCCACGTCGTCTAAATGCCACCTCGCGTAGTACCACTTTTTGCTCCTGTTCGCGTCCTCCCTCGTCAAACCCCCGCCCCCGCGCCAAATTTCAAAACTGCTCACATCATCTCCTCATCCCTCCACGCACCCGCACACTCACGCACACGCATGTTTATGCAGAAGCTGATGGCGTACCAGCTGACGTTCCACCTTGAGCAGATGGCGAGTCAGCACTTGCAGCAGCAGATTATGGCCGCCATCGATGCGGCCACCCAGCAGGAGGGCAACGACAACGCCCCAATCCCCGGTGAGATATGCGCCTTTCTTTGCATGTTGTGCGTTTGTTTGTTCGTCGTGCGTGTGTGTGTGTCTGTGTGTCTGTGTGTGTGTATCCGTGTGTGTGTGTGTGTGTGTGTGTGTCCGTATTTCTGTGCGTGTGTGTGTGTGTGTGTGTCTGTCTATCTGTCTGTCTGTCTGTCTGTCCATGTTTGCGCGGGCGGACGTGTTGCCTGCTACAACACGCCAACATCACACGTGTCCCTTGCGTCTTGTCCACCACATCCACTCTCCTCTCACACCTGTACTGTTCCTCTGTGCGCTACAACCTCGTCTGCGCTATCCACACACACACACACACACACACACACACACACACACACACACACCACCCTCCTACTCCTCAGGTTATAAGGATTGTAGATAAACAGCCTTGTCATACGACAGCACTTCCACCACTCTAGGTAGAACACTAGTGTTTGTCTTGCTTAAGAGAAGGATTCAGCTGAGACACACACACACACACACACCCTCCATCTCTCCGTCCACCGCCCCGTCCACCATCGCGCGCCTCGGCTCTGACAGCTGCAGAGGCGAAGCGGCTGAAGGAGATTCTCAGCGGCGAAATTTCCCGCCCGCTCTTTGTCGAGTTTATGGGCAGAAACAACAAAACCGACACGCTCATCCTCGAGAAGACAAAGGTGCGCGCCCTAGGTGAAGCAAACCGACACGGGGGGGGGGGGGGATGGTGTTGTGTTGGCTGCGCTCTGTCTTTCCATCTTGTTTCATTTGCCTGTCATTCGCTCTCTGACAGCTTCAAACGAAACGGCTGAGAGCAGTGCATACTTTACCACAAAACAAGCAAATGCCATGTCAGCACGCATGCTTGCCTTCACATCCACCCCACCCCTCCCCCCTTTCTTACTTGCCAATCGCACGTGCGCGCCTGCGGCGGCCTTGCAGAAGAGCATCCAGGGCCTGTCGTCCGTGCTCGACAACGGGCTTGTGCTGTCGCACAGCGTCATGTCTGCGGGCACCACCTCGGACAAGTTCCTTCGGGAGAACCAGCAGTTTCTTGGCCGCTTCACCAACTGGGCCAAGTTGACGACGGTGGCGAGTCTTGGCGTCATCCACAAGGACCACACCTCTGCCGCCAAGAAGGTGCTGCAGCCATACCTTCCCTCCGAGAACAGCACCAACGAATACGAAAACGGCGGCGGCCTCTACGCTCTCGGTGCGGTACAGTGGCGGTGCTGGCGATGGCGATGGTGGTTGTGTGTGTGCGTGTTTGCGCTTGTGTGTGTGTTTGCGCTTGTGTGCGCGTGCGTGTGCGTGTGTGTGTGTGTGTGTGCGTGTGCGTGTGTGTGTGTGTGCACCCCTTGTTGTGGCATCGCTCGGTCACCTTCGACTATCACGGCTATGCTTTGGCGATATATATGTATGGTCACAACCACTCACCATCGACCGACACTCACCCCGCTTCTCCAAACCCACGTCATCCAACCCCACACCGCTTGCAGGGTTGATCTATGCGAACAACGGCGCGTCGCAGGTTGACTATCTTGTGGAACAACTCAAGACAGCGTCCACGGAGCCCGTGCAGCACGGCGCTGCGCTGGGCCTTGGCCTCGCCGCCATGGGCCTGGCCCGCGAAGACGTGCACACCGAGCTCAAGAACGTCCTCTTCTCCGACAGCGCCGTCGCCGGCGAGGCATGTGGCATTGCCCTCGGCCTAAACATGCTGGGCACGCTGAACGAGGAGGCGCTGGAGACGATGATCGCCTATGCCGTGGACACACAGCACGAGAAGATTATCCGCGGCCTTGCTGTTGGCGTGTCGCTCATCCTGTACGGCCGGCGCGAGCAGGCCGACGCCCACATTGACCGCCTGGTGGGGGACAAGGACCCGATTCTTCGCACGTCCGCATGCCACTCCATGGCCATGGCTTACGCCGGCACAAACAACAACAACATCATCCGCAGGTATGGGGTGGACCAAACTCGGGTCGACATCAGCAAGGGAGACAGAGGGAGAGACGGAGGGAGGGAAAGAGGGATGGAGGGAAACTCGCGGACATGCTATGGCGTGTGTATGTGAGCGTGCTACCATTGCACGTGCGTGTTTGTGCTGGTATGTGAGCGTACTGCGTGTAAGGTTCCTTCCTCTTCCTTGTTATCCCCCCCCTTCTCTCCCTAAATACAACCGCACCTGAGCGCATATCCACTTCAATGTTTGTTTTGGCGTGTTAAACTGCACCTTCACAATGTCTCGTCGTTAAGTTTCCAACTCCCTCCCTCTTCCCCTCCCCCCAACAATGCATGCTAACGCCCACCCACTGTCTCCTCCTCCCCCCTCCCTCTTTTCCTTCACGCCCCATTTCTCCCCCAGGCTGCTGCACATTGCTGTGACGGATGCCAACGACGATGTGCGCCGCGCCGCTGCCACGGCCCTCGGGTTTGTTCTCATCCGCACGCCCGAGCAGCTGCCCAGCGTGGTTGCCCTCCTGTGCGAGAGCTTCAATCCGCACGTGCGCGCGGGCTGCTGCATGGCACTCGGCATTGCCTGCGCGGCCACGGGCAACAAGCAGGCCATTGAGCTGGTCGAGCCCATGATCAAGGACTCTGTGCGCTACGTGCGGCAGGCGGCGCTGATTGCCATGGCGCTCATCCTGATGCAGCAGCCAAACAGCAGCGCCAAGGCCACGTCCTTCCGCAAGTCGCTGCCGGAGATTATCGCCAACAAGCACGAGGTTGTGCTTGTCCGGTTTGGCGCCATCCTGGCACAGGGCATCCTGGAGGCTGGCGGCCGCAACGTGACCGTGCAGGCCTGCCGCGACCACGGACACATGGACGCCCCCACCATTGTCGGCCTCCTCGTCTTCACCCAGTTTTGGTTCTGGTACCCGTTTACGCACTTCCTGTCCATGGCGCTGACGCCGACCGCGCTCATCTGCCTCAACGGAGACATGCAGATGCCGCGGATTGACGTCAAGTCCAACGCGCCGCCGTCCCGCTTTGCCTACCCAACAGCAACGGCGCAGCCAAAGGAAAAGAACAAGGAGAAGGTGGCCACGGCAATCCTCTCCATCTCCAACAAGAAGAACACCCGCCGGGTGCGTTGGTTGCGCTGTGTCATGTGTTAGTTCCTGTTTCGTGTTTTGTTGTGTTTGTGCTTGTGTGCTTGTGTGCCTCAGCTTGTGGTTTGTGCTCGTGTTATGTCGCGTTGTGTCGTGTTGTTGTGTGTTGTTGTGTGAAATGCTGCTGGTGGCGGTGGTGGCGATGCTCACGGCTGCTTGTTTTGTTTGCTTGCAGAAACTTGGGTCGCTGAGCGAGATGGACCTCAAGGCGGACGAGGAGACAGCGAAGAAGGAGAAGGAAGAGAAGGAGAAGAAGGAGAAGGAGGCGGAGGAGGAGAAGAAGGAGCCAGAGCCCGAGTTTGAGCTCCTGTCCAACCCAACGCGCGTCGTCAAGGACCAGCTGCCCCTCATCTCCATTCCCAAGGAGTGCAGATACAAGCCTGTGGTGCGTGTTGCGTTGCTTCTTGTGTGTGTGTGTGTGTGTGTGCGCGCGCGTTTGTCTGTCTTTCAGTCAGTCTGTCTCTGTCTTTCAGTCTGTCTGTCTCTGTCTTTCAGTCTGTCTTTCAGTCTGTCTGTGTCTGCGCATTCTCCTGCCTGCATGCATGCTTCCTCTATCCCCGCCTCCCGTCTTCCAGCACGACTTGTTGCTAACGGTCTTCACTTGCCACCACGTGGGTCATTCCGTTGTTCACAGTCCCGCATCCACGGCCCAATTGTTGTTCTGCGCGACACGACGCCTGGCGAGGAGGAGGAGCTCATCACCATCGCCGCTGCCGGCGCCGGTCAGTTTGGTCGCGTCTTGCTTCTCCTGTACCTTGTCTTTGCTGTCCCTCAAACTAACACACACACACACACACACATGCCCTGACACACACACACACACACATGCCCTGACACACACACACACACACATATATATATGCCCTGACACACGCACACACACACACACTCACTCACTCACACACACACACACACACACACACACACACTCTCACTCACGCACACGTGTGCAGACGACAAGAGTGGTACGGGTTCGGGCGCAGACTCGGACGAACCTTCAATGCCACCCGCTTTCGACTTCAACGTCGAGCTGGAAGACGAGAACTGAGCACCACGGCCTCTGCCTGTTTTGGTGGCTGCGAACCACACACCAGCAATTCCGTGTGCGTGTTACGTGACAGCGCAACAGGATTCGTCATGTGTGGGCGGTGCGACCTGTGTGTGTTTCTGTGGGTAACCTTGCGTGTGTTTTTGGGTTGTGCCACGTCAATCCCCGGCTGCTTCTTGCTCGTTTGTTTGTCTGTTTGCTGAGAATACAAAACACCATGTGGATGCGACAGCCTGAAGCTCAACACTTGCACAGTGAATCACTACTGGTTCTACGAGAGGGCATGTAATGGCGGCTGATGGTGGTCACACACACACATACACACACACACACACAGAATGTCCAATCACACAATAAGAGCGCACATGCGTCAACGTACACACCACACCCTCAGTTGCACGGCACGCGGCACGTTTGCATGGTGCATATTCAGCAACAGAGGCACTCCCCCCCCTCCTTCCCCAATCACACACACACCAGGAAGCAAACAAAAATGAAAACAAGCACGAACCACGAAAAGAGGCACATCCCTGTGCCGCAAAACCATGATTGGCATTGGGGCGCACACGCACACGCACACGCACAGCTCAACGCAGGCTGAAGACAGTGCTGACGTGAGCACGACTACAAACAACAATCACCAATGCACCAGCGACAAACAATTTAAGCTCCAGCTGAACCAACAACACCAATGACAGCAGCCGCTAAAACGAAACACTGAAGGGTGGGTCGGTCAATCAATCATAAAAGCACAAACAAGAGCGAAGCAAGAATGAACCAAATTGCATGCAAGCAGCCTCGCGACAACAAGCAAAACAAAAAATAACAACAAGGGTTGTCCAATCGGTAACACCGCAACACGGCTGTCTGTCTCCACCTTCGTCTTCAGCCGCGCCAGTCTGCAGGGTTGTCTGTCTGTCTGTCTGTATCTGCGCAACTATCACCTCAACAAGCTCCATGACAGCCAGCTTCGCGATCAGCAACACTCGCCCATCCTTTTCGTCTCACCCAAAGCGCGCTGTCTCCGCTCTGTCACTTACTCTCTCTTCGCCGTTCCCTTTCTTGATCAACAAACGCACCCGATCCTCGTCAGCAGCCTCTTCCCCTCAGTACTTCGCACGGCACACCACTGGTTGCCCGCCATAGGATAATATCAGCCCAAACACAAGCGCGCACGCGCTGGCCGATTCAAGTCATCATCGTCACCACTGTCCTCATCACCATCAAGCGTGTCGCCACCACCACCGTTGTCATTCTCGTCATACTTAGCATCATGCCCCCCCACCACCCTCATCATGCGTGGCATGACCGGCACCAGCACCACACCATAATCATCACCATCTCATCACCGTAGTTCCCACCACCGTCACGCATCCACGCATCTCTCAGAGCGAGCTCATCGAGCCGCCATCATCCATGTGCTCAAGCATCACATCCAAGTCCATTGGCTCCACGGGTCCCCCATCAGTCACGCTACCAAATCCGCCCATGTCACCAAACCCACCCGAGTCCTGCCCGCTCATGAAACCGCCGCGCTGGCCAAACAGTGGAAGGCGCTGCCCCTGCAGTGCGTCTTGTGACAACTGTTGGTGTTGATGTTGGTGTTGGTGTTGTTGATGTTGTCTGTCATCGCGGTGGTGGTGTTGCTGCTGATGTTGTTGTTCTGGCTGTTGCTGCCGGTTGAAAGCCAGCGTTTGACCAAAGAGGCTGTTCAGCACGCTCGATGCGCTGAGTGACGACTGAGCTCGCGTCTGTGAAAGTGGGAAATCAGACTGTTGCGACGGGTGTTGCTGGTGCTGCTGAGAGTGACTTGCCTGCTGAGGCTGGAAATCGGACTGATGGTTGTGGTGTTGTTGCTGTTGCTGCTGCTGCTGCTGCTGCTGTTGTTGTTGGTGGTGATGTTGTTGCTGTTGCTGCTGTTGTGGCGACCCAAAGGAAGAGCTTTGCTGTGCGCCCATGGAGGACAGGCCATTGGCCGCACTGGAGCCGAGCAGGGATGTTGCAAGCGAGGATGCCATCATATCTCCTGCCTGCTGCGCTTGAGATGGGTTGCCGTGCTGTTGCTGTTGTTGCTGTTGTTGTTGTTGCATGGAGAACGCTGGAAACTGTGCCAGAGCCTCTGCGCTGCTGAGGTCTTGGCCAATGGTCATGCGTGAAATCATCTGCATGAGGTGGGCCAGAGCCTCGCGCTGTCTCGCCGACTGTGATGCCAGCGCCTGGTTCTGCTCGTGCAGTGTGGATGGTGGTGGTTGGTTGGTTGGTTGGTTGGTTGGTTGGTTGGAACAGGGGGCATGGTATGGAGAAGGGTTGTTAGCATCACAAACATGCAAAGCCGGGTACGTGTGCGTGGTGGGGGCGAGATCAGCAACATGAGACAGAGACAAGAGACAGAGAAGAAGGGAAGGAGATAAACGCCCAGACGCACAACAAAACAAGCATGCTAGCTCGCTCACACACACACACACACACACACACACACACACACACACACACACACACACACACACACACACACACACACACACACACACACACACACACACACACGGACGCACACACACAAGCGCGCACGCGCACACAACCATACCAACCAGCAGACAGAGGCATATCCGGCAAACAAGACAAACCTGTAGATGAAGAAATTGGACTTGGCGCTCAAGGGCAACAAGCCTGGACTCCACCATGGCGCCCGCCGTGGTGTCGTTGGAAGGCATAGGTGTCGGTGTTTCCGCTGCTTTTGTGCGCTTGCTTGATGAGCTTGCTTTCCGGCGAATGTTGCAGAGAAGGTCTGCACGACCGAGCAAGAAGTTTGGATTGCTGAACTTCTCCACCATGCCCACGCCCGGCAACACGCGGCCTTTGGAGTTGGTGTTGCGATGAAACCCTGTGAAGATGGGCAGCCCGTTACATGGACACGTGTCGAGACAATGGGTGAGCGTGGATCAAAGTTGTGAGAGTGAGAAGGGTCAGTGTCACGACAACAAGGCCATGCGATCGACACACGACAAGAGCACACACACGCACACACACACACACAAACAAACAAAGAAACAAACAAACAAGTGCATGGGGGCAACCTCATCGGTCATACATGGCATGGCGCCCCAACACACACACACACACACATCACAGATAACACAGGGAACAGCAACGAATCCGAGATGCACAGCAAATATGCTTGCACACACAACACGCACGCGGCACACAAACCATCGTTGGGATGACTCACCATACATGTTGAGCTGCCTCACAAAGGATGCGTAGTTGTTGTGCTTGAAGTACGTTGGCAAGACGTCGCGGGAAAACTTGGCAATGTCCGAGACCCAAAAGCACGAGCCATGCTCGTTCCACTGCAAGCAATCGCGGTGCATTGGGTTGTTGGTCATCTTGTACAGCTTGGTGAGGAACTGCGGCACCGGCTTCATTGAGGATGAAGATGAAGAGAGGACGGCGGGCTCCTGTTTTGCCGAGACAGAGGACGCTCGTGAAGATGTGCGATCCATAGCGTGTTTCTGGTTGATCTGGTTTTGCTGACGACTTGTCTGCGCCAAAGCACCGCTTGTGGTTTCTCTTGGTTAGTGGGTGCTGGCTGCCAGCAGGTGCCTCAGGCTGACAAAGAAACAGAGGCCCAGCTCAGACAAGCTGCGAACAACTGCGGTTGGGAATGGTGGTTGGATGCGACGCTGGCAGCTCGCTCGCTCGATGGATGGCTTTTGGGGCGTGAAAGCCTGTTCCAGCGAGGAATTTGAGAGGGAGGGCGAGGGTGGGTGCTGAGGGTGTTCACGTGTGGAGGTCGCACCGCAGATCAGAGTGTGCTGATGACAGAGCTGCTGAGGCACAACGAGCTGGAAGTGTGTGTGTGGGGGGGGGGGAGCGTGCAAAGTGTTGACGTGAGTGCTTGAATGGCCAGAACAGTCAGAACAATCAGAATCAATGTTCATGAAGCTCAAGATTGGCAAGACGACCCAACGTACCGTCAAGCCTTTTTCTTGTGTTTCTGGGTGTCAAAGAGCGCGCGCGCGAGAGCGACAGAGACAGAGACAGAGAAAGAGAGGGGCGGGAGGAGAGTGTAGTGATGTGATTTGGCCACTCTGGAAGGCGAGTAGAATGGCTGGTTGTGTGTCGTGGTCAACTGGCGCTCGCGTGCGGATCGATTGCGGCGATCTGAGCGAAGGCGAATGCCGGGGATTTGCGCTTTTTTGTGACAGGCAAACAAGAAGAAAGCAAAGCGGCGCGTGGGGTGGTGGTGATTGCGTGAGGCGGGAGGGGGGCGAGTGCGCAAGAACGCAGCGAACGAAGCGAAGCGAGAAAGATGGTACATATCTTCTTTCAAGTATCTTTAGTGCCACAATCATGGTGAGTTTTCCCTAACCAACAAAATTTGGCTGCCAACCAACAAACAAACAGCGGAAAAGAAACGGGCGAGCGAGCGAGCGAACAAAGAGCACCTCGCTTACTTGCCCTCTTGCCCTCAAGGTGTGTGCATATGTGTGTGTGCATGTGCATGTGCATGCGTGTGTGTGTCTCATGTACGAAGCGAGCACAAAAACCGCACCGGTTGGCACTTGCTTGCTTGCTTGCTCGCAGTGACGCTTCAATCAATCCAATGCAAGCAAAGGCCTGTTGACGTGCAACAAGGTTCACAGGCACCTCCACCACACGCAACAGTCAGCACCAACACCTTCGCTTGCTCACCGTGTGCATGTGTGTCTGTGACATGTGTGTGTTTGCGCGTATTGGTTCTTGTGCATGCATGCAGCAACAGCACAAGTAGCAGCAGCACAAGTAGCAGCACAAGTAGCACAAGTAGCAGCACAAGCAGCAGCACAAGTAGCAGCACAAGCAGCAGCACAAGTAGCATGTCGAGCCGCCAACACCAACGCCAACGCCAACGCCGTGGGGCTGGCGATATGAGTGGCGACGCTTTGGAAAACGCGCTGACGTCGCGGCGAGTGCGCTTCTCAGCAAGGCCTGCCTCAGCCACCGTTTCTCGGCCTGCCACAACTACCCGGAGCGCTGCCTCGTCGAGAGCCGCTTCGGCCTCCTCAAGCCGAGTCACACAACGGCGGTCCCAACTAGGCCACAGCAACACTGCCACGCCGTCGCACGCCACGTTGCACGCAACCCAGCGTACACAGCTCACCAGTGACATCAACCGCAACAACCCCGACGACGGACAGCTCCACAATCAGCAACAACACCAACAACAACACCAACAACACCAACGGATGCAGCGCACAGCCCGCCTGCCTGAGGATGAAGATGACGACGACGATGATGACATCGACCCTGAACTGGTTGAGGTGATGGAGCTCAAGTCTGAACCGTCGAGCAGAAGCAGATCGGTCGACGTCGGGGGTGGCGGAAGTGGGTGCGTTTCTCCAGCTCATCCTGTGACGGGCGCAGCGGTATTCCAGTTTGACGCGGATGTGGACCACCATGACATCGTAACTGATCCCTACGTGCACACAGACGACAGTGAACACGACGAAGGTGACAGCAGACATGATTCTGACGAGCACCGAAGCAACCAAGACGAAACCGATGAAGGTGTGGCCAGCCGCACACACAGCGATGCCTTTCGAAGCGGTACCGCCAGCACACGTGGCAGCTCACGCGCAGTGCTGTCGAGGCAGACCAACAGCAGCATCCAGCAGCAGCAGCAGCAGCGGCGGCAGCGACGGGAGCAGCAAAGGATTGCCTCGGCCTCGGCCTGCCCAATCCTCATCAGCACCCCAGACCAGCTTGAGCTGCTACGGTCCGTGTTCCAGCGCATTGACACGCTGGGTACGGGGCTGGTCATGGAGTCGCGCTTCCTCACAGCACTCGTCAACGCCGGCGTGGAGATGCCCGACGCCGTCCTCGCTGCAAAGGCGTTTTCAGCCAACACATCCGCCCACGGCGATGAGCAGGGCAATGCTGCTGCTGTGGGTGGCGCTGACAGTGGCCAGCACCACCACCACCACGCCCACAGCCACGTTCCGTACGTGCAGTGGGGGCGCTGGCTGGAACACCAGCAGCACCACAGCCAGTACGAGCGCGAGCAATACGAGCAGTTGCAAGCCCAGCGTGGTCACGACTACACCGTCTCGCAGGCAATACAGGCACTTGCCAACAAATACAGGCAGAACCCCGTCGCTTTTCGCCGCGTAAGCCTTCTATACATGCATGTTGTTGTTGTTGTTTGTTGTTGTTTTTGTTGTTGTTTTTGTTGTTGTTGTTGTTGTTTGTTGTTGTTGTTGTTGTTGTTGTTTTTGTTGTTGTTGTTGTTTTTGTTGTTGTTGTTGTTTTTGTTGTTGTTGTTGTTTTTGTTGTTGTGACTCTTCACACACTCTGCTGCAATCATGTATGTTCTACTCATCACAATCTGACGCCATTTTCGCGCAGATGTTTGCGAGGGTTGATGACGATCGCGACATGGAGCTGACCCAGGACCAAGCCGTCAAGTTTGTGCAGCACGCCATTCCCGACATCAGCCACAGCATGGCGCAGGCCGTTGTCGATGCCCTTCCCCTCACCAACACATATCCGACTGGTGTCGCATCTGTGTACATGCACCGCCTCCACCTCGTCTACCGCCGCTTTGTCAAGTTCATCCTGGTGCGTGTGTGCGTGTGTGTGTGCGTGTGTGTGTGTGTGCGTGTGTGTGGTGGGGGGGGGGTGTTGATGCGTGTGTGTGGGTCGATGCGTGTGTGCTGATTGATGTGATTCGCCGTCATGCGCTGCACACCTTGTGTACTTCTCTGCTTGCACAGCACATTATGGATACAGCATCATCTCCACCATCGTGCTCACACACGCACCATTGCGCCACTGTCCAAACTGCCTGCCTTGCTGCAGTCACCACCATCATCGGTCGTGTCATCTGCATCATCCTCGTCGTCACAGCGGGCACCCACCGGACACCGCCACCACTCCCGTTCATCGCAGCGCGCAGCTGGTGGTCGCACGGGCAGCAGGCAGACTGCCCAACGGACAGCCAGCCACCGCAGCCAGCACGCCAGTGACGATCATGACCATCATCAACCTCAGCACTTGAGTAGCGAGCACACGCCCGCCGTGTCAGTGCCGTCCACAGCGCCACCGTCGCAGCAAGGGCGTCAACGCAGCGCACACAGCGGTCTGAGGCGCACATCAGAACGCGTGCCCACGCCCGGCACCGTCTTGCATCATGCAAGCCATGGGGCTGAGGGGGCTTTGTCAGCGGCACAGCGCCGGCAGCAGGCATCACAGCGGGTGCTCGCGCTTGAAACGATACCGCAATCAACGTCGATTCGCTCACTCAAGGCGACGAAACCCCCGGCTGCGCCCCTTGAAATCACAAAAGAACGTGAGTCAGTGAGATAGAGAGAGGGCGTATGTGTGTGTGTGTGCGTGTGTCTGCGAGAGGTGTGTATGTGTGTTTGTGTGGTTTTGTGTATTTAAAGAGAACACACACACATGTGTGTGTGAGTATGTGTGTACGATTGTGCGAGATTGTGTGTATTCGTTAGTGCATGAATGTCTGCGAATGAGTGCATGTTGTGTGCGTTGGAGGCCCTAGGTGTTATCTGTCGAGACTTATGCACATACACATGTGCTCCTTCTTTGCAGTGACAACCCTGACACCGGAGGCCCAGGCGGCGTTCATGTCCAACAAGCCTGGCGCCGGCCTCCACCTCGCCACCTCTCTTCGCGAACCCATTCGCGTATGTTCCCTGGTGTGGTGGCGCCTCTGTCATGGCAGCGTCATGGGTGCATGCACATTGATTCTGCTGCTGGTGGCATGTCGTGTTGCTGTCTGTGTGAAGCATTGCCGTGCTTGGTGATTTCTGTATAAGCTTCTTGTCTGCCACACGTTTGTCGCAAGTTCTTTGCACGCGTGCTTGCCTCACCTCTGTTCTCATTGCGCACTGCGCTGTGGCGAGCAGGTTCGAGACAGCGAGAAAGCCATGCAACGCCTGGTTGACAAGCATCACAACCGCCTGCTCAACGCATGCAGGAAGCTGGATCCGCATAGGACTGGCATCATTGCCTCGTACGTACAGCGCAGCAGCATGCGCAACGGCACCACCAAAGCTAAATAGCGGTTTATTGCGCCTCGTCTGGGGGACTTTTGTCACTGGCATCGGGCTGGAGTACAGCACGTTGTGAAATTGGTGCAGCGGCGCTGATGAAGGGCTGCTCATGTTCATTTACCCAATGTTCTTACATTCACACACGCGCGCACGTCTACGCGTCCTGAATGACTCTGCATGCGCTTCAGGCAAGAGCTGTATCGGGTGCTGACACATGAGTTTGACATGGAGCTCTCACGAATGGCCTTTGAGCACGTTAAGCACGTTGCGGACTGCAGGTGTGTGTGTGTGTGAGTGTGTGTGTATGAGAGAGAGTGTGTGTGTGCGTGTGTGCTGTGAATGCGCTAGCATGCACTCTTATTGACACCGGCTTGCGTACGTCATCTGCACGTGTTGCATATCCACATCAGCGCCGATACAGGAGTGCCATATGAACATTTTCTCAACACTTTCTCCGCCAAGCCCAAGCTGGACGTGCAGTCAGGTTTGTCGCTGGCTTGCGTGGGCGTGTGTTTGTTTATGTGTGTACGTGTGTACGTGTGTGCATGTGTGTGCCTGTGTATGTATCGCACTGCCTCTTTGAGCCGAGAATGAGCGGGAACTCATTCATCAGCGTGTCATCACATCCACGAACAGGTGCTGGCTCTCGTGGCGAACGCTCATCTGTGCCATCTGCACGGGAACGGCGGTCAGTAGCACACACACACACACACACACACACACACACACACACACACACACACACACACACACACACACACACACACACACACACACACACACACACACACACACAAGACAAGGTGGTGTGCCGATGACTGTGTTTCGGCCAGCGCCTCTCATCGCGTAGGTCGCTATCTCCCCTCTCCCTTGCATCCCCTTCTTGCACCCCTTATCTCGTCGTCATCAGGCCAACACATCCGCACACGGGCCGACGCCTCAGCCAGCCGGTGCGTCAAGTCGTGTCGCATTCACTCTTCCACGAACAGCTCATGTGCGCAAACACACACGCGCGCTCACACACACACACACTCACACACTCACACACACTCACACATACACACACACACATTCACACGTGCATGCGCTCACTTCCTTACTGTATGCCACCACAGTTCCATTCTCAGCGCTTTGCGCCGGAGCGAGGCTCGACGCCAGCAGCTGCGGATGTACACGCAGCAATTGCCCCCGTGCTGAAGAAGCGGTGGAAGGCGTTTCTTGATGCATGCAAGAAGTACGTTGCCGTGCACGCATGCGCAAGCAACCTACACAATGCCTTGCATTGCTTGCTACTCTGGTATAGTATGGTCGGTTGGTTGGTTGTGAGTCTGATGACGCCCTGTGTCATTTGGCGATCACAATCACGTGTATGTGTGCATGGCTGTGGTTGGTCACACGTGTCCGTGGCTATCTTGCTTTGCTTTGGTACCACCTGAGCAAACCACCCTCTGTCGACTCACTCAATCTTCCTTCCTTCCTATTGTTGGGGTGTATGGCTGTGTATGTGTGTGTGTGTGTGTGTGTGCTTGAGCAGGAAGGACAAGAAGCGCAGCGGGTGCATTGGCATGAGGACCTTTGACGATATGCTGAAGAGCTTTGGTCTAGAGTTGTCAGATGATCAGTTTTCCCGCCTCGCTCGCAAGTGGACCAAGTCTGGCACTCGCTCGGTGCGTGCGTGCGTGCGTGTGTGTGTGTGTGTGTGTGTGTGTGTGTGTGTGTGTGTGTGTGTGTGTGTGTGTGTGTGTGTGTGTGTGTGTGTGTGTGTGTGTGCTCGCGTGTGTGTGCTCGCGTGTGTGTTTGTGTGCGTCTGTGGCAGGCCCCTGTCTATTTGCGCAGTTTTTTTTTTTTCTTCTTTTTTTTTTCTTGCCGCTGCTCATGCCAGTGTACATATGACCTTGCGTCACCAACGCGCAGAGCGTGATGTACCGCAAGTTTGTGGAGCAAGTGGCGCTGGGCGATCCGGCTGCACCGCCCGCGCCCTCCACCTCTGACGAGCAGCCGTCATCCAAGAACCTGCGCGCCCTTCTTCGCCAACTCGCGCCGAAGGTACCTGTGTGTGTGCGTGTGTGCGTGCGTGTGTGCTTGTGTGTGCGTGCGTGCATGTGTATGTGTGCGTGTATGCTTGTGTGTGCGTGTGTGCATGTGTGTGTGCGTGTGTGCGTGCGTGCGTGTGTGTGTGCGTGTGTGTGTGTGTGTGTGTGTGTGTGCGTACGCGCGCTGTATCACGTTCGTCATTGGACCTGCGTGCCTCGCGCCCACTCATCTCGCTCGTGTTTGTTCAGGTCCAGGGCCGGTTCTCTGTGATTCGTCGTGCCCTGCGTGCACCAGGCATCAGCCATGAAAAAGTGCCAGCTAGTGCCTTCTTCCGCGTCCTTGATGACAACGACATTCACCTCACCACGGTAAGTGATGTGTGTGTGTGTGTGTGTGGTGTCTCTCCCGCCCCCTTGACGGCACAGGTACTTGCTCGTTTGGCTTTATCAAGAGCTCCCTGTCCCCTCCCTTCTGCACCTCACGAACTCGAACACCCACCACTTTCATGCGTGTACTGCTTGTGCTGGCAGGCCGATAAGGAAATGTTGCTGGCCACCTACGGAACCAACGGGAACTCTCTTGTTCATTATGTTCCCTTCCTGACTGACGCGTTGACACGTTGAAAATAGCCGATGATAGTTTTCCCTACGCGCAGCTTGCTGTATGCACTTGTTGATTCATTCATCATTGGTGCTCGCTGTAGTTGATGAAAGCGTCTTCACCTCGTAACCGCTCACCATGTTGTTGTGTTACATTCTTGCTTCCATTACCACACACGCATACCACTGCCACTTGTTCATTGCTGCTTTGCTGGCTGAATCCTGACCTACTTTCCCTTTCACTTTCTTTGTTGTTTGTTGCCTCATTTTGTTTGTTGTCTGCGGGGTGTGATGTGATGTGATGTGGCAGTGCTATGTGACTGACGTTGGCTGTGCCTGATCTTCTCTTCTCGTCTCTTCTCGTCTCTTCTCGTCTCTTCTCGTCTCTTCTCGTCTCTTCTCGTCACACACACACACACACACACACTCACACACACACACACACACACACACACACACACACACACACACACACACACACACACACACACACACACACACACACACACACAGTGACGGAAATGTTGATCGTGATAATGCAAATTTTCTTGTGTTGATCTGGACTGTACACCCCCATATCAAATCCAAACCAACAACCGCTGTCAAGCTAGTCGTCGCAGCGATTCAGGCACACCCACTTCCGACACAAGCACGCACTGCAACAGAGCGATCATGACAGACGCCGCTGACACCAACTACGACCACTATCACCAGCAGCGCATGCAGGTGACACCGGAGCAGGTAGTTGACAAGCTGCTTGGGCAGGAGGTGCCCAAGGCCCTGCATGAGCTCCATTCTTCCGTTGTCAACCTGTCACAGGTGGCAGAGCATGTGGACCAGACATATGCGGCAGTGGCTGCAACACGAGACACACAGCAAGCCTTTGCGCAGGCCAAGCAGTTCACGGTGCAAGCCCTGGCCAGCGTTGCCTATCAAATCAACGCCGCGTCCACCGCCATCCTTCAAAGCATGGACGCCCAGGACGAGAATGTGCGGCTCCTCACCACAGAAGTCGCCGGCCCGCGCCGCGTACGTAGTCTTGTGTGTGTGTGTGTGTGTGTGAGTGTGTTTGTGTGTGTGCGAGTGTGTGTGTATGCGTTGTGTATACATGTGTGTTGTGTGTGTGTGTGTGTGCGAGTGTGTGTGTGTGTGTGTGTGTGTGTGCGTGCGAGTGTGTGTGTGTGTGTGTGTGTGTGTGTGTGTGCGTGTGTGTGTGTGTGTGCGTTGTTGTGTGTGTGTGTGTTGTGTGTGTGTGTGTGTGTGTCCTCAGCGCGGATTCAAGCTGCCTCTCTCTCATCCCCCATCTCATTACAGCTGAAGTTTGAACATGCGACGTGTACTTGATGTGTGCTTCTTCTAATATGAGCGCATACTCATCCAACAACGCACAACCACACCATATCGAACGAACCAATCAACACACAACCTGCACACTGAGCAGAAGATTCTGATGCAGGAGGAGCAGCGCGGGCGACGCGCCATCTCCGGGCTGACAGAGCCCGTGTCGCGAAGCCGCAAACGCATCTGCGCGCCCATCGAGCTCGACATGACGCAGCCGCCCGTGTCCCGCCGCATCGACTACGACGCCCTCGACAACTTGGGCACCGGCGTGCGCGTACAGATGGCGCGGAATGACGGCCACGCACGAACTATGGGTGGCCACCCTCCCATGCAACAGCAGCACCCTCATCAGCAACAGCAGCACATGTCATCCATGTCGGCCACAGGACGAGCTTCGCCAAACGGTCTTGATACGTCCCAGCTGTACGCCTCTGTTTCCTACGGCAACGTGTCGAGCATGCCCATGCCTGCTGTCCCGTCTGCGCCGCGCGTTGGCGGTGGCGATCCGTTGGACATCTACGACATGCCCCGCAACATTGGTGCACCAAGCATGGCGCCGCCAGTAATGCCTTTCGCTCCGCCCGCCATCCCAGCTGTGCCGGCCGTCCCGGCGCCCACCGTGCCCTCGGTGCTTTCGATGGCGCCACCACCTGGCCCACCCCAGCAGCCATCGGGCGCCACAGAGCCCGCGGAGGACAACATCTATGGCGAGCCGCTGCCCGCGTCCACGGGAGCCAGCACCACCAGCATGCCCACCATGTCGCTCCTGCCGCCTCCGCCGCCACCGCTCGCCGCAGCAGCAGCAACAACAACCGCAGGCCAGACGCTCGATGATGACATGTATGAAACAATCGACAAGGAAGACACAGCGGATTCTGACAACCTGTATGGGATGGTGCTGCCGTCCCAGGCGCTGTCACCGCCGGCACCGCCAGCAGCGGAGAAGAAGACGTTTGACCTGTCCAATCTGGAAGAGTATCCGACGGCGGTGAGCACGTTCGACTATGAAGCGGAGCGCGAAGACGAGCTCTCGTTCAAGGAGGGCGAGTACATCACCATCCTCAAGAAGAACGACGACGGCTGGTTTGAGGGCGTCATTGGCGACCGCCACGGCCTCTTCCCGGGCAACTACTGCGAGGAAGTGCAGGAGTCAACCACCTGATGCGCTTTGTGTGCTTGGTTTTGTTTGTTTGTGCGTGTGTCTGTGTTTGTCTGTGGTTATGTGTGTGTGTGTGTGTGTGTGTGTGTGTGTGTGTGTGTGTGTGTGTGTGTGTGCGCGCGCGCGTGTGCGTGTGTGTATGATCATCGTGTTGATGAGGAAGGGGGAAGTGCTTTTCATGGTCTGCTGGGAAGCGGGGTGTGCTTTAATGCGGCCAATGTGTGGCCAACCAGGGTAACAGCAGGGGTGGGGCCAGTCCGGGGTTCAGTTTAACACAAAACAAAAAAGGAACCAACGCAATTAGCTGTACAAGCCGCACGGCCATCTCTTGAGAAGACACACTACCACAGGCACAGATACACACACTCACGCTAACACACACACACAGACAGACAGACAGACACACACACACACACACCACGGCTTATGCCATCGCAACAAGTACGTCATCCACACGATAGTTTGCATTGCATGTGGAAGCTTCATCCACCTGAAACACGAGTCGGGCGACGTCACCTGTGATGAGTGGCAGCACAACCCGCCGCCATGTACCGGAAGTATGCGCCACATCTCCAAACGCGGTCTCTCCGCCGCCCTTGTCACTGGTTGCGGTTGCAATGGCTGAGCCGTCGCTCGCCCGCGCCGTCTGCAAACGGAGACATTGAGATAGAGAGGTACGCCAAGGACCAAAGGAAGAGGGGGGGGGGAGGAAGGAGAGGAACTCACACGTGAGTAAGCAAGCCAGCAGGCAGGCAAGCAAGCAAGCAAGCAAACAAACAGGCAGGAAACGTTTGAGTGCTCCCCCACACAGCAGCAGCAGCAGCAGCAGCAGCAGCAGTAGTAGTCGTGGAGGAGAGACGCGTACCACTGTGAGATGAGTGTCAGCATCGTTGTCGTCGTCAAACCAGAAGTCAAACGAGACATAGCAGCCACCCGTGCAGTCAAACGGCCCAGACAAGCGAACACCATCACCACACGCGTCCTCGAAAGAGAGGTAGCGGTTGCGATCCAAGCTTGCAGAGGATCGAACAGCGACAGCCGTGCTTGTTGGCGGCTGTACAGCAACATCCCCAATGCCTGAATACGAGATACGCGAGATGCGATGGATACAAAGGATGCAGTGGAGAGTGGTGAGCGACGGCGTGATCGGAGTGCGAACGAGAGGATCAAGCACACAGCACCTCCCCGGTGTTGGACCGGAGCAAAGAGTAGGAGCCACAACCAAGCGTTGCCAAAGACGCCTCGAAGGAGCACAAGGCGTGCAAGGGCACACGTTGTAACCATACGATACAATACGATGATGCACCTCTGAGCAGACAACGTAATTACACAGAACAAACACACACACACGAATGAAGCCCAACCTGATAGTGGCGTGCCGACTGGGGCTGTGACGAAATCAAGACAGCGCAGGACACGGTCCTCAAATAGAGACCAAGTCCAATCACAGAACGATGCACAATCGCCCATGCCGGCTGTTGCCAGTGGTCGATTGTTGCAGCGACAGTAGTGTGCACCCACGCCATCCACGCACGTGTCATCACAGCCACCGTTGTCTGTGTCGCAGGGGTTGGCATCTGGTCGAAACACAGCGAATAAATGCCCACAACAGTTGCGGTTGTGCATGCAAGCAAATCAGACGACCCAAAAGCAGAATGAGCGGAACCATGAAACGTCTTTGTGATCAGAACTACTTCAATGCAGAAAGAACGCAGTAGTGCGTGCCGCTCACGGTGTCACGGCTTGATCATAACAGCGACACAACTGCACGCGATACGAACACCCCGGCTGCAAGAGAGGCAGCTGGTCAGTCGCCCCGTACCTTGGTCACAGAAGCGGCCCGTAAACTCATCGGTACACTCGCATTCGAAGCAGTAAGTATTGGTGACGTCATCAACACAGGACGTGTTGGTCACGCAGGTGGCACCGTTCTTACACGGGTCGCGCAGGCACGGAAAGGCAAAGCACTCGAGCTCCTGTGCAATCTCGAGAAGGCAGGAGCAGTTGCTTTCGTCAGCCTGGAGAAGATAGTCTGGGTCGGCGAAGAAGCACATCGGCGTGGCATCACCGCACGATGTGGCATCTGCAATGGCAGTTGCCGCTGCAAGGCAGTCATCCTCCGTGTTGAAGGAAGGACTGATGATGCCGTTGGATGTGGCGCACCCGGCCTGTTCGTGGACAAGTCATGGTGCAACGAGTGAGTGAGTGTGTGTGAGTGAGCGTGCGTGTGTGTGTGTGAGTGTGTGTGAGTGAGCGTGCGTGTGTGTGCGCAATGTGAGTGAGTGCGTGTAAGCGCGTGAGTGCGTGTGAGTGAGTGAGCATGTGCGTGTTTTTTTCCTGTTCGGCTGAACGCTGGAGTGTGAAAGATGGCGCAAACGACGACCGCGAATCATATTTTATCCAATCCACTGTGTCACAAACTCACCTCTGTGAGCTGTGCACGAAATCCGAGCGTACGTGCCCACATGTCACATTCATCTGCGTCCGTGAAATAAGGGAAGCACTGGCCACCTGCATGCGATCACGCAGCATGCAGTCGGAGGTCGAGCAAGAGCACATGTGTGAGGCAATCAAAACGAACGCATCACATACATACATAATCGTCACTTGTGCGCACGAATTGGGGAGTGAAACTGTGCTTGCAAGCAAGTAACGCAGCCGAGTGAGGATTCCTCACCGACAGTGATGGTCATTGGTGCAGTTAAATTGAACCCTTCGCAAGGAAGGAACGTCGTCGTCGTCGTCGTCGTCGTCGTTGTTGTTGTTGTTGTCGTTGTTGTTGTCGTCGTTGTTGTTGTTGTCGTCGTCGTTGTTGTTGTTGTCGTTGTTGTTGTCGTTGTTGCTGTCGTTGTTGCTGTCGTCGTTGTTGGTGTGGTGGTAGGTGAAGAAGCATCAGCCGCAGCCGTGGTGGTAGTGGTGGTGGCCGTTGTCGTTGTCGTGGTGGTCGTTGTCGTCGTTTCACCGGTGGTGGAAGTTGTGGTTGTTGTAGTTGTGGTTGTAGTTCGCAGCGTTGTGGTGGTCGTTGTCGTTGTCGGCAGGGTCGTAGTCGTGGTTGTTGTAGTGAAGACCGCACTGCTTGTCGTGGTGGTTGTTGTTGTCGTGGTGGTTGTGTCGACAGCCGTTGTCTCGGGCATGGCGTGACAGATTTCGCGGGTGAGCGCCTCCCAGAAGCAGTCACAGTCCTCATAGTCTGCCAAGACTGTAAAACGAGAGAAAGCGCACAAGCGCACAGGAGCACAGGTACGTGTGTGTGTGTGTCAAGGGTATACGATACATGTATTCTTGCAAGGCAAGGCGGGCGCGTGTGAAAGGTCAAGCGTTTCACAGCTCATCGCTGCAGTGTAGCACGTACTGAGGAATGTGTTGCTCTGGCAGTCGGGCATTCCATTTCCACATGGCAGGTTTGATGTGATGCCGGGAAGGCTGCGCGAGCATGTACGTATTGTGTGTGTGTGTGTGTGTGTGTGTGTGTGTGTGTGTGTGTGAATAGGGGAAAGTGACATGAGCGGGCACGGCAGCAAGGTGCACCATCAAGACGGCTACGGGCACTGTTCGTGTGGTTGGTTGGGGTACGCACTCGTTGCAGCCCTGGGAAACGTGCACACGAAAGCTTGGAAAGCCCGTGTTGGGGCAGCTCGCGCTGATGAAGCGGCCTTGGCTGTCCGCATACTGCACAAGACCGTCTGCCCACTCCGTGCAGGCCGTCTCATCTAAAACACATGTGTACACATACCAGCGGCATGAGGCGGCAGAGTGAAGCGTTGACAAGAGCAAACGACACAAAGTGCTCAGTGTCATCGTGGCCTGGCAGGGAAAGCACGCAACCACATACAAACCAGAGACACTCTCACTGACACACACACACACACACACACACACACAGACGCGCGCGCACACAGACACAGACACACACACACACACACATACCGGCAAAGGTGGCGTAGCAGTCTCCGCCAATGTCGGTGCTGGTAGGGATCGTAAGATCACAGGACAGCGCGGGCGCGGTGACATTGGCTTGTACGTCATCAAACGCAAGCTGCGATCCGTCTGCCTGGGAGTTGCAAGCAAGTACAATCTGGAACCCCGACAGAGCCTCCATGGCTTCGTAAGAGACGGTGAAAGTAGAGAATGTCCCTGCCATCACATCACCCTCGGTGATATCGCTGCTTGCGAGGGTTGCGCCTGTGCTTGGGTGTGCAATTGTCACTGACGCTGGCAGTGCCCCCGCAACCATGGTCCGCGCCGTCTGTGCGCATGTGTTTGTGTGCGTGCATGTGTGTGTGTGCGTGTGTGTGTGTGTGTGCATATCCAAAGTAACAGACAAACCCCAAGAGGGCATGAGGGAAACTTGCTGTCGAACTGATGGTCCCATACTGATACAGGCACATGCGTGCATGCAAATCCAACAACCACACGCAAAGCAGTGACGCGGTGGAGGAGGATACACGCAAACACATTGCCAGCGAGGACAAGCAAGGCAACTGCAGAAAAGACGGCGTGCTGCAGGCACACACACACAAGCAGAAAAGACTACGGGCTGCACACCCAGAAGCCCAGAGACAGAGACACAAACAAGCACACACACACGCACAGACGGACACACACACACACACACACACAGACAGACACACACAGACAAACACACACACACAGACAGACAGACAGACAGACAGACACACACACACGCACGCACCGCTTGCACTGTGACGGAGATGGTATCTCCTTGATCGATGGTCTGGACAACGGCGAGGGCGGCTTCGCCTTGTTGCTGCACAACCAAGACGTTGGAGCCGTCTGGCACTTGTGGCAGGTCCTGTGACAGCGGGTTGAGGACGCCAGCGTCCGTGACAGACCAGCCCGTGACGGTGTTGGATGTGGCACCGTCGGATAGCGCATCTTCTTCAAAGCTGGGGTTGAGGAGCGCAACTGACGCAGCAAGTGCACGCTGCTGAGGCAGCAGCAGCAGCAGCAGCACCATTACCACTGCTGGCGCAGCAGGAAACCACCTCGGTGTCGACCTCGGCGAGTAGCTGTGGGATTTGCATGCATGTGGTGCACAATCCCGTGTCTGCTGTGCACGTTGGCCAGGGCTGCGGTCACATTGATGCTGCATATGTCCCTGCTGGTGTGTTGCAGGTGGTGTTCTCTGTCGCCTCCTCCTCCTTCCCGATCCCCAGGCTGGCATGCTGCTCGTTAACAGCAATCCCTCGACCGTACCCAAACCGTCAACACCGATATGCCACGGCAGCTGCAGCAGCTACCAGCAGCTCGAGCAGAACGTGCTTGCTTGCAAGCAAATCGAATCACAGGTGTGCTAAAACGCTGGATTGGATGGAGATGGGTGGCAACAAAGGAGCCTCAGCGAGAGCAAGGGCGCGTGGGAAGGTGGGAGGTTTGCTTGTTGTTGATTGACGGTGGTGTGACGAGGGAGGTGGAATACAGTGATGAGTTTGTGGATGGGCTTTGCTATGTGGTTGACACGCGAGAGGTGAGAGCGAGTGGCGGGTGGGTCTACAACACCACACTCAAAAAAAGCGATGAGATGAGGAAGGACAACAACTTACTCACACTGGCTGTGCGGGGCGGTTTTGGCGGCACAAAACAATGCGGTCACCACGGAATCTTCTCCAACAGCATTGCAAATCGCCACAATGGCCGTTCAAAGTCAAAGGAAACAGCACTGTTTGGTTGGTTGGTTGGTCCATCGGTGTCGTGTCCCGTCCCCATCTGCTCATGGAGTACACAGTTGTGCCAACCCCCGCCCCCCCCCTTCGCCCCCAAATTGCACACTGCCTGTTGTTTCTCCCACGTCCCCATGTGCTTGCTTTGTGTGTTGCGGCGAGGTCACCCATCTCGTTTACGAACCAATGAACACCAAGCATAACCAGGGAGCATTTACGCCTTGACAGCGTACACAAGCTTGGGGAAGGCGCGCTCGCGCTTAATCTGGCGCGCAGTCTTGGCGTTTGCCTCACGCTTGGTCAAGCGGCGGCGCATGGCGCGGGTCTGTTACGCACAGCAAGCAAAACCGATGCAATTGTGAGTGAATACAAACGGGAGACAAATGGAAAGTTGTGGTGGCGCGCGCGAGTGGGGTAGCGTGGTGTGGAGTGGTGTGAGTGAGAGCAGAGGGCGACACACGTATCATCATCATCATCATCATCATGGTCGGGGATACATGCATCGGAAGAAAAAGAACGCTCCATCCGCGTGTCCCCCGGCTCAATGAAAAGACGGCAGCCAGCAATCAAACACCACCCTCATCTGCCTTTTCTCCTTCCTCGTCTTCTGCTCCACCTTCGCCACGACCACCATCTAATCACCGTGCTGCTGCTGCTGCAGCAGAAAGGGACACATCAGTGCAACCCCCTCACGTCGTACTCGCTGGAGATGCCGATCACCACAGCCTGGCTTCCCTCCGTCTCTCCGCCAATGCATCATCACGTGGGCTTCTCTGTTCGTCAGCGCATGCAGCACGTGGCAGCGCAGCTAGCTGCAGTTCAGGCCCATCCACTCATCCAACCGTTCGCTTGTCATCACACCCACCGCACCCACATAGGCACACGCGCAGCACACTCACGAGCTTGCGGCGGAGGTCGAGAGGCTTGTACTTGGCACCAGCGTAGTGCTTGCGGACGGCGGCACGGGTTGCCTCGTGGAGGACAGTCTTCACAACGGCGACCGACTTGCGGACAGATTTGCTGTTGCACAGCGAGACACCGGTATTAGATGAAGACGCGTGAGTTGCCCGGCCGGCAATATGGGCACGGGGACAATGGAACAATTTCGGGTGCAGGGGTTACACACACACACACAATCAACGTGCACACGAGTGCTGGGTGCTGGGGGTCGCCCCTTGACGGTCAAATAGAGGCAACCATAACCAAGCACGCTTGCGACACAACAACAACAACAACAACAACAACAACAACAACAACAACAACCACAAGATCACACACACTCATCCACAACCACCGCTTCGGAGCACTCACATCTTGCCGAGCTTGGACGCGGAGTTGCCGGTGACCTGCTCAACACGGAGGGATGCAAGCTCTGCCTTGTAGTCATCGAGCTGCAAACATCAAAGAGCGAAAGGACACGTGCGTGCATGTGTGTGCACGTGTGTGAGGGAATGCATGTGATCTAGCCAAAACACAACGTGACATCAGCACGTGTCACGCTGGGTTGTCTCGCGAGAGGAGTGACGGTGGTCACGGCTTCTGGCAACACCAGCATCACCGACGCCAACGCAAACACCAAGAGATCATCGGCTGTTGTTTCCCCTCACTGGCTACACAGGCAGTGGCGTTTGCAACAGCAAACCACCGTCCGTGGGTGATGTGCAACAAACCAAACCATCTCTGTTCCTCAGCCCTCCTCACGCACGATGTATCCGCATCCACCCCGCCACTTTTCTTCCCCCCCCCTCGTTCGTCTTTCTTTTCTCTGCTGTCATCGTTCAGTACCTGCTTGAGCATCTCAGCCTTCGTCTTCTGACGAAGCTGCTTCGCCTTAGCCATGGGCATGGTTGTGTGTTGGGGTTGGTGGTGATATGGGGAGAGGGTGGCTGTCGTCGGTGCTGTCTCCACACAAACAAGAAAAAGGCACACGCGTGAAAACGGGGTTTGCCGCAAGATATCACAGAATAAAAAAATCCAGGCAGCGCCACCTTCCTTTGCACCATCACCGCGAAAATTCCAGTTCAAACTTGAAATTTGTACAGTGGTTTACGACAGCATAAGCTGCTGCTGAACGGCGCCCACCCGAGCCAGCACACATCGTCTTCGTCATCTTCGCCAACGTCAACATCGAGAGAGAGAGATCAAGAAACACCCACACCCACCACGCACACTTATCATCCGCATCGCTCACACAAGCAAAGCAAGAACCTACAGCAACCACGAGCAAGCAAACAAGCAGGCAGGCAGGCAGGCAAACACCACATCTTCTTGCTTTGCTTCACCACCAACAACAGAAACAACAACAGCAACAACAGCAACAATTGAAGAAGAAGTCGCTGCAATCCTTTCCAAGTTCAGTCAGTCAGCATGTCGTTAAGGCGCACCAACACGATTCGGGGCAGCTCCGAATCGCTGTCGTTGATCCCTGAAGGCAACTTCTGGTAATGGATGATGTGGTGTGTGTTTTGTGTGTTGTTGTGTATGTGTTGTTGTGTGTTGTTTTGTGTGTGTTGTGTGTGTGTTGTTGTGTATGTGTTGTGTGTGCACGTGAGGTTTGGTTGTGTGCCTGTGTGCATTGGACGTCGTTTTCATGTGTACGTGTACAGAAGTTGGATTGCTTGCGTTGGCGTTTTGTCGCTTGACTCACAGCGCGTTGTGCTGTTTGTGAATGGCGACTGTCCTTCCTGTTAGGGACACTGGCAACTACAAGCCCGTGCTGAAGCGCATCTCCAATGGCCCAAAGCTGTGCGATGAGCTGGTGAAGATGATGCAGGAGCGAGCCAACCTGGAGAAGCACTTTGCCAAGGAGCTTTCCGCGTTTGCTGAACGCTGGGAAGACAAGCTGCATTCTCGTGTTCCAGAGTACGGCACGTTGCAGGACGGCTGGCTCTCCGTCACTGCAGAGGCGCGATCCCTCGCAGACATTCACATGGCCTGCAAGGTCTGTGTGACGTTCGTGCGCGCGTGTGTGATGTGTGCGTGCGATGTATGGTTGTGTGAGGTTGTGTGAAGCGTGCATATGTGTGTGTGTACGTTTGATGTGATTCATGTGTGTGATTTGTGGCATGGGCACTCGTGTGCACGACTGCGATTCGTGTCCACACCGCGATCGCTTGCGGGCAGCTCACATTTCCATTTGCACGTGCTTGGGATGCAGACTGCGATTGACGATGTGATGAAGCCTCGCATCGAGGCGTGGAAGAAGGAGCACTACAAGCGGTCCTTGCTGCACCTCAAGTCCTACAAGCGAGCGTCAGCGGTACGTGCCAGTTGTTCACCCACACCGCCCGCACCCTTACACCCTTACACGTTGCATCTCTCATCGCACGGCGTTGCAAACATCAACCATCACACACGCACAAAGGCGAACGCACACGCGCGTGCATACACATCACACATACCACACACGAACACACATTACACATGTACACACACACACACACACACACACACACACACACACACGAACACACATTTCACATATCACACATGTACGCATCACACACACACACACACACACATATCACACACATCACACACACGCAGGCGTTTGAAAAGGCCCAGAGCCCCTGGGCAAAGCGGAAGGACAAAATTGACAAGCACCGCAACAACGCAGCCAAGTACGCTGCGCAAGCAGAGCAGCTGCGGGCACACCCTGATGCAGGTGTGTCGAGCAAGGTGAAGGATTCCATCAGCAAGGCCCTGTCCAACGAGAAGCAAAGCCAGGAGAAGCTGCGCCTGCGCGTCGAGGAGATGATTAGCTACACTGACATCTACAGACGAGAGGTGCAAACGCGTGTGTGTATGTGCTTGTGATTGTGTGATTGTGTGATTGTGTGATTGTGTATGTGTGTGTGCGTCTGTGTGTGTCTACGTGTGTCTACGTGTGTCTACGTGCGTCTGTGTGCGTCTGTGTGCGTCTGTGTGTGTCTACGTGTGTCTACGTGTGTCTACGTGTGTCTACGTGCGTGCGTGTCTGCGTACTCCGCGCATGCATGCGTTTGCACCAGCATGTGCGTGCGTGCGTTCGGGTGCATGCACCCGCTTGCCTGCAAACACGTGCAACATTGTTTCTATGGCCGTGATGATGTTATCATTCCACCGCCTCTCACCACCAATCCCTTCGTGTGTGTGTGTGTGTGTGTGTGTGTGTGTGTGTGTGTGTGTGTGTGTGTGTGTGTGTGTGTGTGTGTGTGTGTGTGTGTGTGTGTGTGTGTGTGTGTGTGTGTGTGTGTGTGTGTGTGTGTGTGTGTGTGTGT